GGCGGAGAGCAGCCACCTGGAGAGGAGAGGCAGCATCTGTGGAGAGCGGAGAGCTGCACCTGCGGGACAGCGGAGAGACTGTTCCCTGCGAGACAACGGAGACACCCATCTGTGGGACGGCGGAGAGGCAGCCACCTGGGGGACAGCGGAGAGACTGTTCCCTGCGAGACAACGGAGACACCCATCTGTGGGACGGCGGAGAGGCAGCCACCTGCCGGCCAGAGGAGAGGCAGCCATCTGTGGGAGAGCGGAGAGACAGCTACCTGCGGGACGGCGGAGCGATAAGCCTCCCCTGGACTGGCAGCACCACCAGTCGCATTGGTCTGCAGCAGCAGCGAGACCGGACGGCGGCCGATCTGATGGGCCAGGAGCGCGGACCAACCCCAGAAATCATTCGGCTTCCGTCCAGATTTAAACCAAGGAACGTATATCTGCGGAGAAAGAAAACGAAAGACTGTCATGTTAGCCGATATATCTGAAATAGAGTCCCGGAGCTAACAAAAACAACGGCGCACATACAGCCAAAGTGGAGGAGGGCCGCTTGCTAGGACGAGACTCTAACGCTGAGATAGTGCCCGGAAGCCAGAGGAAAGTGACAAAGAGGACATCAAGGAGGAGGCTGAAAATATATTGTTTTTGCTATGATTTGCACTGGCAATTTTCCAAAACATACCAACTGTAACTGTTGGCGATGCCATGGAAAGGTTTTCAGCCCTCGCTGGGCAAAGAAGAGGTGAAAACGTCTGGAATTAATGTTGTTAACATCTGCTCCCTTCCCATAATCAGTATAGATGCATGCGCTAGTCTCCAGATAAAGGAAGTGTGACAGAGCTTCACGAGGTGCGGAAACGTGGGGCTTTGTTCTGATTTAGGCGGAGGGCTGAAAGGCACTTTGAGTCGTTTCTTTTCATGCATTGCCGTAAACCTAGTGCTAAATTTTCCCAAACGATAGAAGGGCTCGAGTCCTCACCCCAAGGCCCTCTCCCTCTTTCTTGCATGACGCTGTAATTGCCGCGCCCGCACGCGCGGGCGTTTTTTTTTATCAAATGCGTTCAATTAATCAGCCGTCTTTTTTCTGTGCGTTTATGGTGACTAATCACTTGCCAATTGTATTCTTGTGATCGATCCGGGTGTTTTTAAACTTCCACATTTTGATGTCCCGAGGGGCCACCAAAACACTAACAGCGCTCATTTCGGAGCACCTTGCACAAGTTACCACAGAGGGGTGCTGCTGAGGACTCAAAAAATGTCCATGTTGTCTGAAAATATGCTTCGGAGCTAAAATAACGCCCTCAGGAGCTGTGTTTTCCCAAAGCCTGGAGAAATGGTCTCAATGGCCCATTATAGGGCGTCTTTGGCATCCGAAAGCATGTTCCGAGAATGAAAAAGACGCTTTGAGAAAAGGAGGGGTCCAAATTCCCGGAGAGTCGTAAATTGGAGCTCTAAAAGAACACTTAAGGTCCACAAATGTGCCCTGATGGCGATAAGAACGTCTTAAGGACAACACGTTGCTTCAAAGCCATTAGGGACAAGCCCATGGGTTCAAGGGGTGCCCTTGTGTCTAAAAATATTCTTAAGATTGAAACGGGTGCGCAAAACCTCAGAAAAAAACTTCCGTAAGGTCTGGAAATTGTCCTACGGGTTAGGCCGTGCACAAAATAACATGGTGCACCCAATTTTGGACAAGGTTTTTGGCACATTAAAACAACGTTTACGACGCCTGAGAATGCCGCGCTAGTAATAAAGGTGATAAGTTGAAGATAAGATGATCAAGATGAATTGGCTTTTCAAGGGCCCCACGGTGGCTTTGGCTGATCTTAGTGTTTTAAACGAGCGCTAGGAGTGCAGCCAGAGCCTTGCCGGGGGGGGGGGGGGGGGGGGCACAGCGTTGACGAAGGGCGTCCTGGTAGTGAAAGTGCATCTCTAAAAAGTCACCTGATATGGCCCATTTGTTAAAGAGAGCATCGTTTTGGTTGATTTTTTTCCATTTTTACGTTCTTTAACTGGTGTGGAAGCCAGTAACTATCGCGAGATCAATTCTGTCTGAATTTTATGGATAATAAACTGTACAAATAATGCGATCAACAACCGCACGAAGCACATCGCAGGTGCTCTTCATTTTATAATAGGCCAGTGAGCTCTTTCTAAGCCAATGGAATTCAGAAGGTTTGCCAGAATTTTTAGCTGGGTTGTACAGATATATTATAAGCCCGTGGATATATGTTGCAGATTGAAAAGTGCCCGCAGCTGGTATTGAAATGACCAAGCCATGTTTATCTGGAAATGTTCAGCATTTAATCAAAATCGGTTGGTGATGGAAAATTATGTAGCGTAGTTTTGGACATCCACGCTCGCAAATATTGGCAAAATAAAACCCTCGACGCCAGGTGTTGCAGCCTCCATAGGCCGCGCAGCGTCGGCCCCGAGGCTTATATTAACTCGTGGCCAACGGGTGGACGCAAATTATGACACATTTGAAAGAAGTACATTTGAACGCTTTAAAATATCAAATCGTTCATTTAGAAGACAGCCCCTACGCGTATTTCAGATTTTTGCGTACGTTCTGACAGACGCTGGGGCGCCGACCAATATAAATTGCTGGATCCGGTTTTGTCCTTGCTAGGAAAATGGACCCTCAGGTCCATGCCGCTGCCGAGTCCGCTGCGCGTTACTGGAAGTGTATGACCGACATATAAGCCTTGATTGACTTGGGGGCCCTTGACCAGCGTGCATAGCTCTCTGGCTGACATTGTAGTGCGCGGTCCTGCGGGCCGGGGCCCCTCAATACGACCTCCGGCTGGTCTCTCAGGCCCTTTCGAAGCCCTTGCGGGCCCACAGGCCCCTGTGAGCGGCGCCCATGGATGTGTTAAAAACAGGCTGAAGCTACCTTCAAGGCGCTCATCAAAAGGCACAGGATACATGAATTTCCAGGCAAGATTTTGAAGCTTAAAAAATGCCTATGCAGAATAACAAAACCTGTAGCGCATGGTATGAAAATCGAATACGTGGGAAGCCGAAAGTCGCGTCTGTGTGCTCCGATTTCATTTGGTCGCGAACCACGGCCATACGCTTGGCTCCCGTGTGTTACGCACACCCAGTTCCGCACTCTGGTCGTTCGGTGGTAGAGGTTCTGCTCCGCCAGCGCAGTATCACGTGCCCTGAGGACTAAAAATACCTTTTAATAAAGATACTGGCTTCTTCAGTACACGGCCAGAGGCCGGTACTGAGGAAGATCTTATTTGCACTACCAGGGGCGCAACCAGAGGTTTGCCAAGGGGGGCACAGGGTTGACAAAGAGTCCCCTGACAGTAAAAGACGCCCCCCCCCCCCCAATATCACTGGATATGGTCCATTTGTTATTGAGAACATGTTGTTCTTATATATACATATATATATATATATATATATATATATATATATTTCTCTTTTACATTTCTACCTTCTATAACTGGAATAAATGCCAGACGCTACCGCGATATCAATTCTGCCTGAAGTTTACAGTACTTATACTGACAAAATCATGCGTTAAATGAAATAAGTCGCCGGTATTCCTCATTTTGCAATGGTTCAATGGACTCTTTTAAACGTACAGATTCAGAAATGTTGCCAGAATTTGTATCTGGGTCGTACAGAGGCTCCCACGAGGCCCAGAGGCAAGGGCTCCCGCGAACGTAGATTGAAGATCAAAATGGGTCAAAAGTTTGTCTGAACATTGCCAAGCCATCTTTGTCTGAATGCGTTGAACGTTTGGTCAGAACTGATTAGTGATACAAATCATGTAACGTAGTTTTGAACGTCCGCGCTCGCATGTCTTGGCAACAAAAAACCTTGACGCAAAGTGCTGCAGTTGCCGTAGGCCGCGCAGGGTTGGCCCCGCGGCTAACACTAATCCTTTGCCAACAAGTGGACAAAAATGATGTCTCATCTGAAAGAAGTGCCTTTGAACGCTGTTGAACACCAAATCGTGCATTTAGAGATATTCTGGGCGTATATTTCATCTGTGCGGTATTCAGATTTATGACAATAACGTATTGGTCTTTACAAGCACTGCAAAGTGGTTCTGGAATCTGGTCGTGGAGCTGAAAGAGTAGCGTAAAATCTCTATTTTTCGTGCAACCGAAGCTAATTAAGACGATTTCATCCCTAAGCCAGGACGAGTATGCATTTCTTAAAGGTAGGACGGCAACTGATCGACGGCAACAAGACAAAATTATGGGTTTTCTGCGCAGCATGATCTTTGATATTTGAATAGCTTACAATACCAACGACTTTCGTCTTCTCAACTTGTGCATTTCTTGGCATAGACCAACAAGTTTCTGTGATTGCTAACTTTTCCTACATTTTATGTACCATTTCAACCAAGACGCTGGCGGGAGGACAACATCGTGGGGGGGATGGCAACTTAGCATCAGGGGGGGGGGGAGACTGGCCCCTTACAAAAGAAAGCAAACAAATCGACACACGCACCGTGCCCGGCTCTAATTATGAATGGTTGCGCCACTGCTTGGAGGGCCTTACAGAGGAGCGCCGGAGTATTGATCTGCCCTGGGGAATTTTGGGGCCATGTTCGCCCCGTCCCCCTCCAAAAATACTTGCCGCTGCCCATGAAAGCGGTCCTTGATTTCTTCTGCCAAGTAAAAGTTTTTTCTTTTCCTTTTATCTCGTGTCGGTTTGCCGCCAGTTGTATATCTGGTAGGTTACTGGCGTCCTACTAAAAATGTACTACACATTCATATACTAGACTCAGCTCTACTTGTCTTCTGAAACCCAGAGTGGGATAGCGTGGGATAGATAGAGCCAGTTGAGTTTGTAATGGTGTCGATATTTGGTGATGCCTGTAACGATACCCTTCAGCGAAAAAGCTATCTGTTTCTGTCTCGCCACTTTACCGTTCCCCCGCTGTGACCGGCTGGCGCTAGTGTGCAAATGGAAAATTCCACTGATGATCCTGGCGACCGCTTTGGAGCGCTGCCAAGTTTTATCCCCGCCTCTGTTCCAGACATAACTAGCCGTAACCGGTTCAGTGTGCAGTGCACTTGGGAGGCGGCCCCGCGGAGCATGTGGGACCTTGGGCGGGTCAGTTCAGTCGGGTTATTGTTCTGGGAGGATAGGTGGTCATGTACGGGAGTGGACCTGACTGAGTGAGGTACTGGTGGCATCGTGATCGCCCGTGTAGAGGTAGGTGTCGGCGGCGTGGGTGGAAACAACGCATGGTAATTCAATTTGACTCAGGTTTGGCAGTAGGTACGCAGTCGCATTGGTCTTGATGGATGGCTGCTTGCGGATGAGAGTTCCGGAGCTGAAGCTGCTGTTTTTTATTGACGTGGAGTGTAGATTGGGCTATCAGTGGTTGAAGATGGATAAGGTTGAGAATTTCTTGATGATGACGAATGTGACGCGCCTTCAGGGAGATTGTTGACACTCAGTGAAGCCCAGTTAATTGTGGTAATATCCTTCAATACTTCCAGGGTTGCATTAACCAAAGATCAGATGAACAAAATAAAAAAAACATTGGTTATGGGAACACATTTTCTTCTTCCAATTCAGCCAAGCCAATTCACAAATCCAGCGTCTGCAGCGAGATCTGCGTAGCTCAGCTGATTGATGCGCCCCAAAATGTTGCACACTGCATCCATTGTCATGTTTCCATGTTGACAGGTGGGATAGTCTAACTTGTGTGAGGATTTGTTGGCACCTCTGTGAGATCAAAGTCAATGAGAGCACTGAAAAAGACAGTCATCAAACAAGTCCAGGATTACACAGTGCTTGGCTAGCCTGTGGGCTTAAGTTCTTGTCATCTCTGCTTGTTCCCTTTTTTGCACAGATCACTATAGTATTTTATGCATAACCTATATCACAGATAACTTAAGCCCCATCATCTCCATAAAGAAATAAGTAAGTATGTCAGCAAGCAAGAAGCTTATTAGAGTATTCATTCTGCAACAAAATGATTCAACCTGTGTAAGTTACATGTAACTTTTAGCCACCTAGATCAGGATAACCTCATTCAGATATGAAATAAGTGTGCTAACTATTGGTATATTTTTAAGTAGAAATGACTGCTCAAGTCTACTTTTTCTATTTATTACATATGCTCATCAATATTTAATTGATTGTGACAGGGAATGTTTGCTGCCCCAAATATTGCTACCTGCTTGTGTTTCAGCCTCATGTAAGCTTCTTGTTTTATAAATCACATAACATATCTTGTGTTAGGTCTTATGCAGCTTCCACAGCTTTGGTAGTCAATTGATGCCTGTTTTGTTCTTGAATCACAGTCACTGAATACCAGGTCTGAATAAAATTATGGATGATATAAATGAATCAGTTGTATTTGCTTGACCTGGAATGCTGCATGACTAGTGGAATGGCAGGGTTTGAGTGATGTTTTTATGGCATCATGGATGCCTGGGTAACCTTAAAATGGTATGCACATCATTATAGGGTTGTACCTTAAACTTGTCATTTAGGTACAATGCTACCATTGTAAGGTTGTACCTGAAGATAGGGTTTTAGGTCAAGGGCTTTGAATGGTACTGAATGGTTTGAAGATGGTTTTTGCAGTTGAAGGCCCTATGTTAACATGGATTATTGTCTTTAAATGAGATTCAGCTAGATATAACCAGTTGAAACCAGGTGGGCTTGCTAAAACTTGAGTTTGGGCATAAAATGCAGGTCAGTGCTGCATACAGCACTATTTTACTTCCAGTGTAGCAGTAACCATGCATTGCTAGGTCAGCCTGTGGAGCAATGCCAGCAGACCAGGACAATAGCAGCACTTTAGAATAACTGATAATAATAAATAATTGGGCATGCTGATAAAATGTAACTCAAGAAGCCACCATGGCATTCCCCATCCGATTGCTGCACTTTGCCTGGATGGCTGTGGCCTGCTGACCGAGGGGCGCGTCTGACGGCGATGTGCACCCCCACAGTTCTGTGGCATCCTGCGATGCCGGAGCAGCGCTGTGAGATGTCCGAGGAGCTGCTCTACCGCCCCAGCAGCCCGGTCAGTGGCCTGCCCCCAGCCGAGGTGCCGCCGCCGCCGTCTGCAGCAGCGGCGGCCGCCGCCGCGACGGAGGGTCCGCTGGACCTGACGACCCGGTCGGCCGGCTCGACCACCGACCCGCTCGCCATGGACCTCAGTCTGCCCGACAAGGACTCGCCGGTGGAGGCGTGCTACACGTGTGGCACGTCCGTGCGGCGCAGCACGCTGCACGCGCTGCTCGTGCTGCGCCGCCACCGCTACGGCGACGAGCCGTTCTTCCCCAGCCTGCTGGAGCACAGCCGGTCGGCTGGCTCATGGCCCATGACGCCCGACGGCCGCGTCAACGTGTGCACCGCCTGCGCGCGCAGCCTGATGGGCCAGTGGGACGGCTACCAGAAGGAGAACAAGGTGGTGCCGGGCAGGCGGAGCTACGCGGTCCAGGCCGGCAGCGGCCCGCCGCTCGGCGAGTTCGTCTGCTACATGTGCTGCCTCACGTACTCTGTGGCGTGCCGCATCCGGCTGCGTGTGGCGCCGGCGCCCGGTGGCGAGCCCTTCCACCCGGACGTGCTGCGGCCGGCCACGCCGCCCGGCGCCGAGGGCGTGCGGGCCGGCACCGTCGCCGTCTGCATCAACTGCAAGCGGAAGGCGGCGGTACTGCGCGCGCTGCAGCAGGGCCGCCCGCTGCCGGCCGACAGCCACTGCTACCGTATCATCGAAGAGACGGTGCGTGATGCGCGCTCGCACCCGCCGCCCGTCGAGCCAGCCACCTCCACGTTCGAGAGCATCCGCGTGCGCCGGCTGGAGGTGGTGTGCCTCTGGTGCCGCGGCACGCACCAGCGCGAGTTTATGGCAGAGGTGCGCTTCAGCAGCGCCGACCCGGCGCGCGCCCACTTCCCGGCGCTGGCGCTGCAGCCGCGGCCGCCGGGCGTCGTGGTATGTCGCGGCGGCGCGCTGGTCTGCCTGCAGTGCTGCCGCGCCCTCCAGAAGCAGTGGCTCGAGTACGAGGCGCGCGGCGCGCCGCTGGCCGATCGCGTGTACGCCATGCGCCGCGGCTCGTGCGGCAGCGGCTCGGACGCGGCGCGTGATTCTCCGCCGGCGCCGTCGGCTTCGCCGCCGTCCGGCGCCGGCTCGTCGCCCGCCGCCGACCGCTCCTCACCCGTCGTCGGCCGCTCCTCACCCGTCGCCGACCGCTCCTCGCCCGTCGTCGGCCGCTCCTCGCCCGCAGCCAGCCACTTCTCGCCCGCCGTCGGCCGCTCCTCGCCCGCCGCCGGCCACTCCTCGCCCGTCGTCGGCCGGTCCGCGCCCGCTGCCGACCGCTGTCCGCCGAGCGGCTCCAGCTCGTCGCGCGCGGCCAGCGGCTCGGTGCCCACCGGCCCGGTGTCTCCGCCGCGCGCCGACACGGCCGCGCCGCGGCGCAAGCGGCCGCTAGACGGGGCGACGGCGCGTGGCGTCAAGCGACGGGCGCCGCTGCCGCCGCCGGCCGCTTCGCCCAAGCCCATGTCGCTGGTGGCGCCGTCGACGGTGACTGCTGGCTGCTACGCCTGCCACCAGCCGCTGGAGGCCAACCGCGCCTACGAGGTGCGCACGGAGCCCAGCCCTGCCGACGCGTCGGCGCCGTTCTTCCCGCATCTGGCGCAACAGCGTCACCTGCCGGCGCCCGTCTCCAGCGTGGCCGTCTGCGTCTTCTGCTACCACACGCTGGCCGACCAGTGGGCGCGCTACGAGCGGCTCTCGCGCAAGATCGACCCGTACCGGCGCGAGTACGACACGCACAACTTCATCTGCTTCGTCTGCAGCGTGCGCACGTACCGGAAGCGTCTGCACGTGATCGATGTGAAGGTACGACCGTCCTCTCCGGCGGCGGTGAGGGGAGAAGGGAGGCAGCCGGCGAGGTCAGAAGCGATGGCAGAGCTGTGGCGCGGGCTGGAGGTAATGCGAATTTGGAAGTTGGCGATGGAGTAGGGGAGCTAGGTTACACTCTTGGGGTATGTGCCGACAGACGAGAATACGGAACGGGGACAACCTAATAGGATCTTTCCACCTCTCACAAATTTGTGATCCATGGAATGTGTTTTTGTCCCGCGGTTTGCATCCTTCAGTAATGCGCCCACCCTCGCCAAGGCCTTTCGTCAAGCGGTGGGGCGTTTTCGGGATATCGACGGGGTGACGAAACTAAGCATATGATGAAACCCGAGCTGTTGCGTAAGCGAGGCGTCAAGGTACGGTCCTAAAAAAGGCCGAGATGCCGCTTGGCAGCCGTCGCCGCATTCACGCTGGCGCGCCTCGTTGGCGTGGTTGGCTGACAGCATAGCCATTCGGGTTGCATCAGAACGTACAGCAGTGCGAGGTTTATCACCGCCAGCCCGCCCTGTGGCTCCATGGTGATTTGTTCGTCAAGCGAGCTCGCAAGCACATAATTGGTCACATCTCGTAGAAATTGGGACCAGTTCGCCACAATTTCGTTGGAGCTCGTCGCAGCCGTTTTTACCAAACGTAAAAGTAAATGTGTGGTCCTACCACCAGCTGCGGGCTGTAATCCCTGTCCGGTCCCTCAGTTGTCCCCAGTATCAGTCCAGTCACTCGGTCGCCCTCGAGCCTCTCGTTTCCGTCGGCCCGGCGGGTTTCCCGTCAGTTGGCCTGGCGGGCAAGACGCCACGAGGAGAGCGCGTGTGCGGCGCGGCACCGCGCGCGCCTGCCACTGCGCCGCGCAGGCCCGCTTGCAAAGTACGTGACGCGCCGCTGGCCGGCAACAGTTGTACACCCACCAGGGTCGCAGCTGCCCAGCACGGATCGGTCTGTCGACGTTGGAGCCGATCGGCATTTGGCGCGGGCCACGGTTGGGAAGGTCCAGACTCGAAACAACACCGGGCCAGTCGCGGCACGGCCCACTTGGCTGAATTTGGTGCCTCTGTGGTCTCGATTTGCAAAGCAATGGAGGCCTGGATTGGGTTTCAAACTATGTGCCTTCCACACAGCTTCCCACCATCACCTTTGACCGAACCTATCATCCAAATCGTCAATTTTGACCGAGTGTATGACCACTTAGTGATAATTTAGCATCAGTCCCGTATCGTTGTGGAAAAGTAGCTGGGACACAATTGCTAGTTATCCCTCACTTTACGAATGCCGGTTTGCCGTCGGTGGGACGTCGCCGTGTTTTTTTCGGGGTTTGTCGCGGTGTGCAGGCCTCGGCGGGTTTGACCCGTCTGTGACCTCTGGTTAAGACCGGCGTGGCTGTCTGCAGCTCGGCTTCCCGGGCTGCATCGGGGGCGGCGGTGGCTTTTTACGTGTTTGGGTGGGCTCTCTGGAGAGGGAGCGTCAGGATGTTGCAGTCGACGTAACTCGCGCTGCGGAGTTCTATGGCCCGGTTTATGGGTGTTGATGGCCCAGTAGCGTTGGTTTTGTCACGTTCGCAAATGTGTATGGATCTGTGACAGACTAAAGCTTTGCCCTAGATACGGCTAGGGTATTTTCCTTTCGAGTCGGTTCGTCGGTTACAGACAGACGCCGCAAAAGTGTGGAACAGAATCGCCTTCGGATGAGTCTGTTAATAACGTGCGGAATCCTGTTTCATGCAGTTATTTAATTCTTGCTCATGGGATGCAGGTTTCGCTGACTTCAGCTTACATCTGCATTGAGCCATCAGCGCACAACTGTAAGTGATAATTATGGTCGTGAAAACGTCGTCGCTGACAATGTTTTGGTGCTGTAGCAGCCCTTGAGTAGCACTGAACGGCTGATTCGTCGTTGCATGTGACGGCCCGCGTCCTATCACGCAGCCCTCGCCGCCTGCTGGAACATGCTTCGTCGTTTCGATTTGAACCAAAGATCAGGCATCGACCGTTTGTGGTCACCTTTGTGTTAACCATCAGAGCGCCGGCGCAGGGCCCGCTGGGCAACGCGCCGTCGTTGTGTCACTGACAGAGTAGCCGACGTCCGGCAGAGCGCCAGAGGGTCTAACCTAGCCAAGGCAGGCTGTTCCTAGCTGGCCGCTCCCAGACTGGTGTCTGACAGCAGATCCATCGAGCTCCCAGTGCTGCTGTGCCCGGCGGCGCGCGGGCAGCACCCGGCGCCCCCTGCCCTGCGGCGGGGCGTACCCAGTCGGCCCAAACACCCCGCAGAGGCTCTGGCGCTGGATGGGCCGGCGGCAGCTGAGCCGCTCTGTTTATGTTTGGGGTCGTCTTATCCGGTAGTGGTGCGCGGTGTCGCGTGCAACGACGCGGCGGCGTCGGGGAGGGTTGGAGGCCAGCTGACACGGGGAGACCGATGTGGGGTGAGCGGGGTCACTCCCGGACGGACGGACGGGCGTCGCTCGCGGCTGAGCGGAGGGGGGGGGGGGCACGTGAGACGGGCTGGGTGTCGCCATGGCTCGGGAGCGGGCCGATCGGCGAGCGGCGGAGTGGGGGGGGGGGGGGGGGGGGCACGTGAGACGGGCTGGGTGTCGCCATGGCTCGGGAGCGGGCCGACCGGCGAGCGGCGGAGTCACGCCGGGCTCTGTTTCTTATCCGCGTGAAGCTGTGGTGCCTGGCGTCACAGAGACGATGGCGCTCTGGCTCGTGGAACATGGAGCTCGTGGAACATGTGTGTGAACCGCTCGTGTGGCTCGTGGAACATGGAGCTCGTGGGACCCCGCTCGTGTGGCTCGTCTAACCGCCCGCCGCCGTCGACAGGACTTTCCGTTCCTGACGGCGTCGCACCGGTATCCGGAGGGGGCGCTGCTCATCTGCAATCGGACCAAGTCGGTGGTGTGTCGCGACTGCCACGGCACGCTCAACTGCCAGGTAACTGTCTCGCGAGCGGCGCCGACGCGGTGCAGCCGTCGTCCCCCACCCCTCCCTCCCTCCCCCCCCCCGCCCCCCGCCCGCCCTCTCGCTCGCCTCCCCGCGCGTGTGCGGGCGCGTGGCTGGGCGCGGCGCGGCCGTGGGCGTGATTTTCCACTGGGCGCGCGCTGCCGCTGCGGCCGTGGCTGATGCCGCCCGGGCGATGCCTGGTCACGGACGCGAATGTGCGTGGAGTCTGAGCGGGGCGGTGCGCCGGGGGCCGGCCGGCGCTGCCCCCAGCTGCGTCACGCCTTCGCGCCAGCAGCCGACCTACTTGCAGGCTGGTTGCGATGCGTTCGGTCGGGAGCTCTGCGGGCCGGTGGGAGGGGACAGTCGCCGCACTGTCGTGCTGTCGTGGTCAGAGTCCCTTTCGGCGACTGCGGATTTGTCACGGGTTCGGTGGTGGTCCCAGCACACTGGTCCTGTCCCCGCGTGTTGTTGCATCCACTTGGATGCGGCTCTCTTCGGGTGCCATTGTCTGGTGCCGTCGGTGGTCTGAATTTAGCCACGCTGTGCCGCTGGTGGGCTCGTCGGGGGCCGCAAATGCCGGCGGATTAAGTCTGGCGGGGGTCCGCCCGGGCCGGCCGCACGTACGGCCCCGAACACGGCCGGCTCGGCACCGCCCGACCGCCGGCGTTGGGCTCCGAAGCCCGGTGTCGACTTCAGAGCCAGGCCCCAGCCCCCGTGTGAGCCACAGCCGGTGTAAACGACGGACGGCAGCCTGAGCGTACTGCCGCCGGGCGTGGAGTCAGAGACAGTGTGCTGATGGCTGTAGGGGGCGCGTCAGGGGGCTGCGACGCTCTGAGAGGGATACGGCAGGGATTCAGGGCTGGTGGGTGCCACGTCAGCGGGACTTTTATCTGCACTTCTTTCATGATAGGTCATATTTATCAACACCTCCGTATGTTAACGAAGTTCTGTTAACTCTGCATCAAATATCAACATATGTCAGAACTCCATCAGCGGGGTATATATGTGTGCCATGGTGTCTGAACGGCGCTGCTGCATAGCGGCTGCAAGCCCACACCATCGTTTACCGTTTACCGATCACAAGGAGCTGCTTAGTGACTCGGAAGCTTCGGCATCCTTCCGACTGCTCCCCACTTCTCCGTCCGGTCACCTGCCCCGCCGCTCCGGCCGAGACCCGAGCACCTGGGCCGCCACTGGGGGAGGGCGGCTCGCGCTGCGGAGGGGCCCGCTTCCAGGGCTGGCGGCGACGCGCGGTGCGGACGCCTGCGATCGATACCCGTGGCTGCCGGTCGGCGCCGGCTGGCGGGAGACGACCCGGGCTCATCACGACGGGGCTGGGCGTCGCTCGCCCACCCCGGCAAGCAGGGCGGCGCCGGGGCCGAGGGCGGCGCCGGGGCCGAGCGCGGTGGAGGACAGGGGGAGGCGTGCGTGCGGGCGTGGTGCAGCTTGGTGATGTTGAATTTGCCCTGTTATCGACGGTTTATGGTTCGGGCTAATGCTGCCGTGGGCCTGGTTGCGGGTCAAAAGTGAATGGCGTAATATCCTCTTAGTCTTCTGCCCCGCGTTCTCCACTGGCAGTAAGCGCGAACAGAACTTGGTCAGTTCTACGTGACAGATGTAGTCCGCCCACAATATATTAGATGTCTGAAATGAAATGTATTTGACTTGAGAGGCCTCCGCCTTAACATTCCGACTGCTCTTTGGCCTTCCACTAGAATCTGGATCCCCAGCAGGAATCCAACGCTGAGACGTCATCGCCCCTCAGGAGCCCATTGGGCAACGGCTCCTGATGTTTATATGCATCGATGGATGTCGTCAGTCGCGTGGAGTTTCGTCATCCAAACACATGCATGCGGCATTCTCAGAACAGCGTTGTGCCGTAATGGATGGCCCGGGCGTCACCATGCGTTTGGGAGCAGCGCATATATCGCACAACTGACAATATCTTAGAAATATCGCCGGAGGCGTAAGACTGGCACGACTGTAGAACTGTTCGCCACGGCCCTGTTGCGGGAGGGGGCGGAGCGGGACGGGCGAACCTGAGCCGCCGGGCGGCCGGCGCATGGTCGTCTGACTCAGCGCGGCGGCACCGCTCCTGTCCGCCCCCCTCTCCCCTCCCCCTCCGGCGTCCGGCTGGCAGCGGCCGCCACCGAACGCTGTCCGGTTCGCTCCGGTTCGTTCCGGTTCGTTCTGACCGTCGGGAGCAGCTTGACCTTGCCCCTGCTGAGCCGTCGCGCTGGCAGCGCGCCACGACCAGTGGACGGTGGGAGAGCGAGCGCCGACGAACGCGGACACACTCGGGCGACGGGCCGGACGCTCGCGAGGGCAGGGCGTGGGTTACACCTGTGCGTTTGGCGTTGGTTGGCTTGCTGGCTGTGTATAATGCATACAGGCGTGCTGGGATGGGGGGGGAAGGGGGCACGGCGCAATGCTTGATTCGGGCCGGGTGGGACTGGTCAACCGTCGTTCCTGGTGCGTGTTGCTCACCAAGTTAGATCTATCACAGGGTCAAGCAATCACTATTCACAGTTCAAGGCATCCAAGTACTTCACGAGAGGTGAGAGCGGTACGGTGTTCTGGTGCTGATATGTTACAGTTATGGCGTTTTATATATGGTATACCGACACAGGCCATTTTCTTTCATTGGTTATCATGGACATTCTGCGATGAACTCCACGTGCACATTACTCAAGGAGACGCTTTGTTTGCGCCGAAACCAGCATGGCACGCGATGACTGCTCGCCTGCTGCTGGACCTACTGTGTCGCGAAACACGTTGCGGATGGGTGTCGGTGGGCCGAAGCTCGGCACCCCGTGCGGCCGTGTCGGGCCAGCCTGTGTGCTCGTCATGCCGGGGCGCCGCGCTAACCCCAGTCTTTTACAGATGTGTGTGGCCGCCGCGGGGCGACCGGTCGCCGCGTTCGGCCGAGCTTTGCGCGCGGAGACCAGTGTAAGAGCCGCCGCCTCGGGCGCGCCGGCCTCTGTCGCCGTGCCCGCGGCCGTGCGCCGCCGGTGCCGCCGGTGCGCGGACGCTTGCTCTGTCTGGTGCCCTGACGCCGCGCCGCTGTCGTCTGTCGCCGCGCCGCTGGTGTGTGAGGGTGGCGCGCCGCGCCAACGCCGCGCTGCTGACGGGTGCCGGCGCAGTTCCAGGACTACGAGCGCTGGAACCTGCCGGTGAGCAAGCGCGAGTACAACTGGGTGACGCGGCCGCCGCCGCCGGAGAGCCCGGAGCCCATCGGTCGGCCCGACACTGTGGTGAGTGGACCGCGCCGGCCGACGCGCCGCCGCGGGCCTGGGACCCGCCCCCGGCGCGCCGCCTCCGCCGCCGCCGCTCGGGCTCGGGGCCGGCCGGCTGCGCTGTCGGGCGGTCAGGGCGGCCCCCTGGGGCGCCTCGCACGCTCGTCTCGGGCGTGACGGGCCGCCGGCCAGCCGCCGAACGACTGAAGGTTAACGTCAGACCTGGTGCTGTTCGCGCATTCGTGCGATCTCATTCAAATTAAACTAACTGGCAAGGGTGGCTGCTATCACAAGGCGTTGCGTCCAGGCCGGAGGCGCGTCTGAACGAGTCCGAGCTGGCGGCCGGGCGGGCGTCTGGTGGGCTTCCGCTCCCAGGTCCCAAGCGCGAGTCGTGCCCTCCGTAGAGCCATGCCCATGAAAATCGCTCCCCTCACTTGGGCCCCGTTGTCGGCTTAACCTTGCCCGCCTACCCGGCGCGGTGGAGCTGGCAGCGGCGGAGCAAGGTCGAGCCCCGGCGAGCGGTTTCGCGCCGCCGCCGAGGCTCCGCGGCACTCCGCCGGTTGCGCCCCGGGAAGTCCGCGGCTGTGGCCGGCGGGGAACGGCCCTGCCTGTGCCGGTGCCCGCGCGTGCTCGGTCGGGAACGCCGCCGCCCTCAGCGGCCGGTGAAGCAGAATCGCGACAGACGACCGCGTGTTGCCGCGGTCCGCCTTCAGACGCGCTGATAGACAACGAGCACGCGCGCCGGTTGGGCGCCGAGCCGCCCGGCCCTGACCGTGCTCCGCCGGCGCCGGCCCGCCCCGCCGCCTCTCTGAGCGCAGTGGCGGGCGGGCAGCGGCGCTGCCGGCAACGCCGCCGCCTGCCCGCTATTCCCGCGTGGCCGGGCGGCCGACCGGCGTGACTCGCGGTATCGGCGCCATCCGCGCCCGCTACCGCGCCTGCCGGCCGGCCGCCCCGCCTGCCGTAGCATTAACGGGCGATTTTCATCGGTGTTTGGTGCTGGTGGTGGGATTGCCGCGCGGCGGCGGCCGACCGGTCGCCGCCGCGCGGGCCGCGTGCTGTGCCGAGATCCCAGTATCGCTCGTGGTGTCGGCCCCCTGAGTTGGCTGGCCAGCCGCGTGGACTTGGTCTGCGGGCTGGCTGGCTGGCTGGAGTGAGGTACTACTTTTTGCTGGTGTTGGCACTAGTCTGTTAACCTCAGGTTAAGGCGTTCTCGCAGTGATTGACTAGGAGTTCCGTCGTTTAATAAAGCACGTGATGTCGCTGATTCAGGTGGTTGTTCAGTAAATATGGATTGGCGTGGTCGGTGTCTGCTGCTTATCAGCCGTTTAAATTCATGCCGTTTTTTGGTTTTTCAAAATTTCGCTTCGTTTTCTCTGAACGTTAATTTGTTTTGTAATCTCTCAGAGCCCGGGGCGGTGGACCCAGTAGGGGCAGAGGTAAGATTGTACAAAGGTCTGGGTACGTTCACTAACACGGGCGCGCACCTCGCGACCAGATGGTCCGGGGTTGGCCGTCCAGCGGCGAGCCAGCCGACCACCTGCCGCTGCCACTGCCACCTGTTGAGATCTCATAAGCCCTGTGGTTGCTTGCCTTTCACTAGGTGGCAGTTCACCTGCAGAATGGCGGCTGGTTCTCCGCCACATACTCACCCGTGGCATGCCTATTTAAGTCATGGGACCTCCCAGACGGGACGCGGCGTTTAACCTGGCAGCGCATCACTACAAACACTACGCGTGTCGGATGTTAAGTTTCTGCGGGTTGTCCGCTTGCGCCCCGCCGGTCCGTGCCGTCACGTCTGGGGGTCGCCCTCCGTCGGGTTATTTCTGCCATCCAGCGTGTGCCTACCGCCCTCCCGGAGTTCATAAATCATTGGTGTCGTGCTCTCGTGCCCCCCCCCCCCCCCCCCAATATGCTCCCCGTTGCGAAGTGTTTTCAGCGCTCCGCATGCCTGCGTGTTGTTTGATGTGTGGAAGTACAGAATGACACGAACTGGGAGTGGCCATGTCTCCGCGATGACCCTTTTGCCCCCTCGCGTTCACCTGAGGGAGCGAGCGAAAGAGAGCGAGAGCGAGAGCGAGAGCGAGAGAGAGAGCGAGAGCGAGAGAGAGAGCGAGAGAGAGAGAGAGAGAGAGAGAGAGAGAGAGAGAGAGAGAGAGAGAGAGAGAGAGAGAGAGAGAGAGAGAGAGAGAGAGAGAGAGAGTAGAGAGAGAGAGAGAGAGAGAGAGAGAGAGAGAGAGAGAGGAAGAGAGAGAGGGAGAGAGAGAGAGAGAGAGAGAGAGAGAGAGAGGAGAGAGAGAGAGAGGAGAGAGAGAGAGAGAGAGAGGAGGAGAGAGAGAGAGAGAGAGAGAGAGAGAGAGAGAGAGAGAGAGAGAGAGAGAGAGAGAGAGAGAGAGAGAGCGACGCACGAATCTGTTCCCTGAGAATTGGAAGGGTGACACCGTCCTGGCCCGGCCCGTTGTCGTGCGATGGTGATAGGCCACGTCGTGTTCGCCAAATCGAGTGTTTTATGAGTATTCAGCAGTGGACGGGTCGCTGCGTGGTACCGTGTTTTGTTCAGGACTGCAGCACTCCTGTCATTTCCTGTTGTTCTGCTCCCCTGCCTATCGAAAGCAGTACTTCATTCGAAGCCGGAAGTGGGGCGCTCGTGCTCCCATCCAGCATGCGAACGTAAAGGAAATGTGTGGCCTCCTACGGAGATATGCGACGTCCGACAGTCTCCTCCACTACGAAATTGGAACTGCTAGTTCCTTAGCTCCCAGTGTATTCTTCATCCTCGTGTTAGGTTTTCTTGGTGGCATTTTTCTCTCATACGTTGCTTTTAAGGTGCCTTCAGTAGGATATGTCACTTATCGTCCTGCGTTCTCGAAGCGGGGAACTGATTATTTTTCTTTGCGCAATACCCTGCACAGAAAGTTCTAGTGTTAGTCTTTCGCGGCGGTGGTTCTGACGCTCGTCAGCGCATCAAAGGCTCTCCTGTTGTAGATGAATTGGCGATGGTGCTAGCCGCATGGTGAAGAAACGATGCTCGAGCTGTAAGAACGAAATGTGAATGTTCAGTAAGATAAAGAGTATCAAAATGTCACACATTATCCCTGGGTGTTTGTGTTCACCTGAAAGGATAAGTTAACCATACACAGTACTATGTGAACGATCCGTGCGAATGTGCACGGAAAAGATCAGCATGACGCGAAATCCAAGACCCACTGCAATGCCAGATTTCATTTTTAAGATATTTTTTTCGGAAACGAAATGTTCACTTGTTAATAGGTTACTATGTCACATCACAAATATGGCTGACTCGCCGTATTTTATGGCTGTAATACGACGCATGACGATTGAGGCATTCTCGTGTTTCAGAACGTGCCATTTTCATCATTGCATCCCCCTATCTCCTGTAGTCACAATAAGGCTTCCTTTCCCGAGTGCTGGTTTGCAAAAAAAGTTATGCAACAGACCCGCCGTGTGCCCCCCCAACTTGTGGACCTCCACGCCAGTGCCTGTACGATGATAACTCACTCTGGCTTTCACGTCTTTTCCAGATCGTGCGCTACGTAGCCGCTTAAGCTCTCCTGGATCAGAGCCGCCGTTGTAACGCTGTTTTCCGCCAGAGAACCTCGCCCAGTCGTATCGTTGGATCCGTGCTTCTCATACTGTCATATTGGTGGTGATACAGGTGATAGCCCTCTGCGCTTACGTTATAAGACCGCACGGGTTATTTGTGTATGTGCTATCGAATATATTTATGCTGAGATCTCCCCTGTTTCGTCTGTTGCGACTTCGGACGAGGAAGCGGCGGATGAGTCGGCTGTTGCTTACATGTACCATCCCGGACCCCGCCAGCGGACAGCGGGCCATGGCTCGTCTTGAGTGGTCCTGCCGGTGTCGCTGCTTCTCGACATCAGAAACAGCAGACGTCGCCAGCTATCAGGGCTTATGTCCCGACCGGCGACATTAGGTCCCCTCGCTGACTCGTATGAATGTCATTTATTGACAGCGCTTAGAACTCTGGTGTTCCGTTCAGTCGCTTTCAGCCAGCTGTAGCATGTTTGGAGAGATGGGTCCACACTGAATGGTTTTCGTTTCTCCACGTTGAAAACAACGGGTGTGCACTTTTGTCGCCGTCGTGGTCACTGCCGGGATGTAGCGATCCGACTGTATGGCGAAGCGATCCCATTCGAGCCCGTGGTCCGTTTCCTGGGCGTGCAATTGGATCACCGCCCTACTTACAAAGACCAGATAAAGGCGTTGCGAACCAAGTGTTTTAAAACCCTGAATATCCTGAAATGCACTGCACGCACGTCTTATGGTGCGGACAGGAAAACGCTCTTGCTCTTCTATCGCTCTGTTATTAGATCCAAGCTCGACTATGCTTCTCTTGTCTATGACGGCGCTTGAGTCAGTAAAGCGCTCATTGGACACGATACATCATACTGCCTTATGTATCGCAACAGGTGCATTCAGGACCTCTCCGACAGCGAGCCTCCTTGCTGAGGCCCACGGGCCCTCTTTGTCCACTAGGAGAAAGGTACTGGGCATGAGATACGCCTGTAAGTTGGCGCAGTTCTCCGATCACCCAACATACAAGTGGGTCTTCTCTCGCCGCACAATACGCATGTTTCTCACTGAGAGAGCACATCAGATCGCACCTTTCTGTGTGAGGATTTTCATACTTTTGCAGGAGTGTGGCACTCGCACACGGCATGTGATTCGTTGGGAAATTCCCGAGACCCCTCCTTGGAAGCTCTACCCATCAGCGGTGGATGTCTCACTTGCCCATTTCGAGAAGAGGCGGGTGTCTCCGGATGAGTTTCGGCTGAGGTCTTTTGAGGTGATCGCGTCGTACCCGGATCACAAGAAGACCCACACGGACGGTTCGAAGGCGGATGCCAGTGTTGGATGTGTTTTTGTACATGGTCCTGTCACACGGTCTTTTGCTTTGCCTGGTCACGCATCGGTCCTCACATCCAAGCTTATAGCCACTCTTAAAGCATTCTATTTCATAGAAGTTGACAGTGACGACCAACACTTAGTTTTATCGGACTCTCTTAGTAGCCTGATGGCACTGCAAGATTTAGATTCATCACATTTCATCGTTCAGAACATTTTAGTTGTCGCGATCCGGGAGGCAGGTGGTATTCTGCTGGATGCCAAGCCACGTTGGCATATCGGGTAATGGAGCGGCTGATGCCGCGGCAAGGCGTGCCACACACGCATCTGGCACCCTTACGATGACGGTCCCCGCTAACGACCTATATACAGTGGTATCTACCTTTATGCTGAAGCAGCGGCAAGCGCATTGGGATGTGCGTGCTGCCAATAAACTGAGGGAGATAAAGCCCCGGTTGGGACCATGGGCGTCCAGCTGTCGCACGGTGAGACGGGAGGAAGTGACGCTATGCCGCCTGAGAATAGGCCACACACATGCAACTCGCCGATACCTCTTATGCGGGGAAGACCAAAAGCGGTGTCCTCGCTGCGGGGATCGTTACGCCGGACGACATGTCTTGGTAGATTGTGCCCACCTCGCCTTGGAACGTATGCGCCATTTTGGATCTGGGTCCTTGCGTCCAGCGCTCTGTGGTATGTTGGGAGACGATTCCAGCTCAGTACATGACGGTCATATTTTTAGTTATCTTGAAGACGTACAATTTCATGCCATATATCGAACGAAACCTTATCTCTCCGCTTTTTCAGGCAACTGTTAGATAAAAAGTAGGTTATGGGCGCCATATGACCAACGTAGTCGGTGCGCCCCAAAGCCCAAATAATCATCAGTTAGCTCAATTCAGAACAGTACGCACCCACTCGAAACGCATCGGTTGAGTATAGCCGTATCTCTGTTAGTGATCGGACCAGAAGGTGGAAGGCTCTGTCCATTCCGCGGGGCGCAGCACCCCTTCTGGCCATCGGTTGAGCACAGCTGTATCTCTGTTCATGATCGGACTGGAGAGGGCTGGCGGGCCCTCTGTCCGGTACGTTGTGTAATCGCGCCCAAAATTTCTGTATCCTCTGGGATATCCATTGGACTTGTCTCGACGTAAAAACGTGCCCCGATCAGCGCTAGTTTCTGAGAGGGAGAGAGCCTTGGGGAGTAGGGAGGGGGAGTTTTGGGAGCACTGCACGACGATCCACGGCTAGCGCAAGCGACGGGCGGCAGCCGACAATTCCGCGGACCGCTCACGAGGTGCCGACATCGCTACATTGACGGATCCTTGCATCATGAATACAGGTAGAAACATCGGCTTCAATTCTGTGTCGCTACGGAACATGAGCTCATACAGTAGGGCATGTTAAATTTTAAAAAGCTAGATTTCCAAGAATATTTTACCTTTGACATGTTCTAATTGTGCCAATTATTGACCCAGTAGCGTAACGTATTGCCAATCGCGAGATGTTTAGGTCCATCCGCTTTTTGTCTCCCGCGAGGCCCTATCTTTCTTGTTTTGAGACCCCAGGGGATCGCATCTGCCCTCCCTGCTCTCATCAGTTTGCGCTACGAAAAACAGCGAACCAAATAAAGCGCTCCGCTCCCCGGCGCCAGCACTTCCCAGCTCTGCGTCGGGTCTGCGGCCCCTCCTGTGCTACTTCCCAGCCCTGTGTCGGGTCTGCGGCCCCTGCTGTGCTACTTCCCAGCCCTGCGTCGGGTCTGCGGTCCCTCCTGTACCGGACACGCGGCCGCTCCAGTGCCTGCAGACTTGCGCCCACTCCAGTACCAGGTGCGCACCCACTCCAGTGCTGGACACGCGACCTCTGCTGTACCGCACATGCCATCCCTGCTGTCTCGGACACGCGGCCGCTCCTGTACTGGACATGCCATTCCTGCTGTCTCGGACACGCGACCTCTGCTGTACCGGACATGCCATCCCTGCTGTCTCGGACACGCGACCTCTGCTGTACCGGACATGCCATCTCTGCTGTCTCGGACATGCGGCCGCTCCTGTACTGGGCATGCCATCCCTGCTGTCTCGGACACGCGGCCGCTCCTGTACTGGACATGCCATCCCTGCTGTCTCGGACACGCGACCTCTGCTGTACCGGACATGCCATCCCTGCTGTCTCGGACACGCGACCTCTGCTGTACCGGACATGCCATCCCTGCTGTCTCGGACATGCGGCCGCTCCTGTACTGGGCATGCCATCCCTGCTGTCTCGGACACGCGGCCTCTGCCGTCCCGGACATGCCATCCCTGCTGTCTCGGACACGCGGCCGCTACTGTGCCGGACATGCCATCCCTGCTGTCTTGGACACGCGGCCGCTACTGTACCGGACATGCCATCCCTGCTGTCTCGGATACGCGACCTCTGCTGTACCGAACATGCCATCCCTGCTGTCTCGGACACGCGGCCGCTCCTGTACTGGACATGCCATCCCTGCTGTCTCGGACACGCGGCCGCTCCTGTGTCGGACATGCCATCCCTGCTGTCTGGGACACACGGCCGCTCCCGTGCCCGACATGCCATCCCTGCTGTCTCGGACACGCGGCCGCTCCTGTGCCCGACATGCCATCCCTGCTGTCTCGGACACGCGGCCGCTCCCGTGCCCGACATGCCATCCCTGCTGTCTCGGACACGCGGCCGCTCCGGCGCCGGACATCGCTAGTCCCAGTGATCGAGACGGTGACGCTCTAGTGATTGGCTCACCGCGGCTGCAGAGGGGTATTGGTGTTGCACGCTCTGCTAAGATGCAGACCATTACAATGATGTAGTGCTGACTGATGCAACAAGTGTTCCATGCATTCTCTATTTTTTACGAGTTTGTGATGTATAGCCATGAAGTTCTAGGGTTATAGGTGGGGCATATGGTGTGCTGTACGTGGATGTGTTCATGATAGGTTAGCGGGAAAATGCTTTGGGCAGATGTTATGCGTATGTTGCCTAGATGCTTCTTCAGAAAGTTACGATTTTGTTTCAGCGGCGCTGAAATGATGTTTGTGCGTGGCACTAACCACTAACACACTAGTCTTAAGAGCAAAATAGTCGCAGCGCCCGAAATCCGAAATTATCAACCAATCTCGCTAGCGACTTGGACATTGACCCGCCATCCATGTAACTCAGGCAATGAAATAACATTTCTGGTGGACGGTTCTGAATTGAGCAGTGAAGGTTGTGTAGGTGCGGACATAGGTGCTAGACATTAATTTGAGCCATTATGGAAAGCTTTTAAGGTTTGTTTGAGACGCTGCAGCTAGAGATATAAAAAGTACTGTGATATGGAACAACATAGCAAATTATCGACGTTAGGTAATGCAGTTTGCAACATCAAAGACAGTTTACAACTGTTAGCAAAGCGGTGGATATGGATGTTTACGGATGGATTAAACCCTGCAACAGCTCTTTGGAGACTCCAGCACTAGTCTTGCCCAGTATATCATGAGATAGTGCAGTTATGATTGTGGTACGGCCGCTAAACCAAACATGCTCTCGTCTTTCTCCATGCATGTGGCGCCTAAGGTTTGAACCGTACTGACGTGCTTACCGGCCTTAAGCCCGCTGCCCAGCCGCTTATGCATAAAGGCCTACGCCCTAACCATCGGGATGTTTGGCATGGCCAGCAAATAATACTGTGTAATAATACTGTGCAAATAATATTGAAGTGCAAACGAAAGTTCCGGGGCGAAAAAAAAATGTATCATGCTTATGACGCATCGTTCTTCGTTTATCTTTGTTTTGTGTGGTTTATTGCTTAGAGTTGATAACGTTTCTGATAGACGTTTTAACGATAGCGTTTCTGATAGACAACTTGGGCTGTTCCA